TTTTCTTATGGAAATGTATTTAATCCTTTTCTAATTATTTTTACCTTTCATAATTATTTTTAAACTATCTAATTGTTTCAAACCTTATCCAGTGGGTTCATGTTAAAGTTGATTGATTAAAATGCATCCATATTTAATTAATTTTAATATTGCCAAAATGAAAAGTTGAGGAAATTTGATCAAACACTAATTTCCTTTCTTTTTATGGTAGTTTGATTGGGTAAACCAGAAAAGGATCATTTAGGATCTTTACAAATATTTGTTTGGTATCTTATTCTTTTTTTTTTTCATTTTAAAATGATGGACTATTATCATTTTGTAATATGAAGTATTATTAGATGAAATACATTATTATTTCTTGTTAAATTTGCACCAAGTAATGCATTTCCCACAATTTCCCCATATTGGGACAATAAAGGGATTTCCTAAAGCCCCTCTCCTATGTTTTTATTCAATTATCCTCAAAATATTTAACAAATCTTTATAAAAGAAATGCAAAAAATAGATCAACCATGTATCCTTCTTTTTTTGTTTGTTTTTGTTATTACAAAACAGAATCCAAATACTCAAAAAAAAGAATGATGTAACAAATCAGGTGAGTATAAATTGAATACATTTAGAGTAAATATTCAGTTTAATTCAGTTGATTGATATTTAGCTCATCCAGAAACAATCATCTCATAATATCAGCTAAATAAAACTAGTTCATCTTCTTTCAGGTTAATTTAATTATAGCTCACTTGTCAACAGTGAGGTTTAACAAATTATACAATAGACATTAGTATAAAGTTGTTGAACCAGTAAAGACATAAACACAAACAAATCTAATGACTTATTATTTATATTAAAATGTGTAGACTGTTTTTCCATATTTGTTTTAAAATCCTTCCAGAGTGACTGAATGCTTTATTTTAGAACAATGGGAGTTTTTATCACGATGGAGAGGAATGGTAGGACCTTAAATTCTAAGCCTAGATGCATACTTCTCATGGTTGGAGACATTTGTACCCCTACAGGGGCCACTTAGACCCACTTAAACATGGAATCTGACCAGAGCAGGTGCTAAAAGTTTTATTAGACACTGAAGGAAAACAGAGAGTCTTATAAAACCCAATCTGGAGAAACATCGACCAGCAGGAACCAGATTGCAGCCCAATTATAAAAGCTGAGAAGAAGCAAAAACATGCTGATCAAATCTACCAGAACCTTTTTTTAATGGACCCATTTGGTTTTGAGATATGATTTTCTTAACCTTCGGACATGCATGCCGAAATCACTGAGTTATAAAACAAGTCATGTTGAATTTATTTCTCTAACTGCTCAATAATAAACTAAACATGCAGGATTTTACTGAAACTAAAAAAGTTTGTCATTTGTATGAATCTATAGATAATTATTTGTCCAAAACACTAACAGTGTATCACATGTTGGTCTAGATAAGAGAAAGTGATGCAAATTGATAGGCTTTTAGAATTCCCTCATATAGAACAGAGGACGGCTGCTTCTTTGAATCACCTGCTATATTTTGCAAAATCTAAAAAAAATGGCTGCAGCCAAGTCTGCTTTTTTGTAAAAGTCTTTGAAAGATTTTGGTCCTGTGTGTTTAAAATACAGTGAAAGCAATTTAATGAAAACAAATGTTTTGTTTTTGACTATAGGACTTCCTGCAAATTTGAAATAATTGGATTTTGCAACCAAAAAGACTTTTAATATGCCTCCATCTGGATCAGACATTTATTGATCGATGGTTGACATTTCATTCCATCCACACGCTAGAAGCCCCGATGTTAAGCTTTTTATAAATGTTACTCCCCTTTTATATATATATATATATATATATATATATATATATATATATATATATATATATATATATATATATACATAGGGCACCAATCACTCAGTATTGTTCAATGTTTTGTTTTATTGTACCAGTAAATTCAATTTCTGCCCTTGCCCTCAACATGAACCCATAGACCTTTCAATGCTTTAGTAAGCTATGGTTGCACTATAAACAGGCGTAATAACTGTAACTCTGCTTTATGGATTCAGATTGGAATCACATGGAAGGCTGAGTTTGTTTTGAGGACAAAGGAGTCCCCACACCCTCCATAAGCTTCCCCAGAAATTAATATTTTGCCCAATAGAAGCACAACTTAGGGGTTTTTTTTTCCCTGTTTTCCTTTGTCAATATTGTCTCACCCTTTAATTGTTGCTGAAGAGCAAAAGTTCTCTCTTTCCACATTTCTTGTGAAAATGACCTTTGTCTGTTTGTTTTTCAAGCATGCATCTTTACATCAAGAGTCATCTAAATGTCGGTCATGTAGATAGAGACTTCATTAAGTATCTCTTACTCTGCTTTCAGACTCCTTGGATAGCCAGATCTGTACGTGTTAAGAGGTCTTCAGAATATCGACCAGACCATTATCCTTATAGAACACAGTTTCATTTCCAATTTTTTCAGAGACCATTTTATATTAATCCTCAGATTCCTGGCTTGCTCCAATTTAAGACCTCAGTCAGCTCTTTCGGATCTCACCATGGTATCCACTCTCACAGTCAGGAGCAGCACAGGACAAACCTGCATCACTGAATAAAACTTAAACCCTTTTCCATGGGAATAAATATGGGAATGTCCTGATTTATTGCTCACATTAAACTCTAAAAAGAGAATGCTGCTCCGACTTCAATCAATTGCTTTAACTGGTAACAATTGATTCAAATTTATCAAACTTAATATATCTAGATCATAAGTTGCCAAGTTAAAGTCCTTAAGGTGGGAAAACTGATTTCAGTTGTTTGTTACCAATTAAAGTTGGAGCTGCGTTCTCTGGTTAGAGTGTCTTAATTTTGCTTTCATTTCTCAGGATAATTACACTACTGCAGATATTAAGTAAATACATGAATATTTTTTCTGGGATCTCATGTTTTCACATAAATCCATGTAATAATGGCTACAATCACTGGAAAAATATAGAGTTAGAAAATAAAATTGAAGCACAATATAGAAGATGTTTTAAGATGAAATATATGAATTAATCTAAAGATAAAAATAAAAATCTGGACAGGTTTTGCTTTTCAATACAACAAACTAACATAACATGAAGAAAACCATTGTCATCTGTGGATGTCACTGGCTGAAATCACAGTGGGAGTTAGTTGGACTGTTTCTCAGCGAGGAAACGCCCTAAACTCATCGGAGTCGGCAGACCCTTTTCACAGGGTTACGTGCCCCGTTGTGGATCTGTGGTGCCTGGGTATGCCTGGGGCACTGATTTTTGTATTAATTAATTTTCCACTTACACAGCTCTGCTCCAACAGTGGAGCTGAGAGAGGAGAACTCTCCAAAATAAGCCAGTCAAAATAGATCAACAGTTCACAAAAATGAAGCCAGCCCGGGACGCCACCGTTTACTGTTAAAAAAAATGAACAATCAGCTCTCCCATCTTTACTGCCCATGATATACACACTTATAGGATCATAACCATCAAACCATCATAGGATGGGCTGAAATAGAAATAATAAACACAGACATGTGTATGTATGTAGAGGTGTTTTTTTTGTTTTTCCTTTTACAGTTGCACATTTCAAGTTTTAAAGTTCATGTTTGCTGAAATATATTTAATGAAGATAAATTGTGCCTTCATCAGTGGTAGATTAGAGATATACAATTAAGTTCACAAGTGAGTCAATTCAATTCAGTTTGGTTCAGGTAAATATTTAATGATGCAGAAAATAACAATCTGATTGTACAATTTATTTATGACGATTTATAATAATAAATAAGTGCTATAAAATATTTTCTTGCATGCTTGCATTAATTATCTGTGCCCATGCTTTAAAAAAAAAAATAATAATTTAATAATAAGGCACCCCCCACTATAGGGTGACCTATTTTGCCCCCTATAGTGTTGGGTCAGCTGACGCCCCTGCATAAACTGACAACTTGATTGTATTTAACCAAACTGCACTGGGACAGTGGATAGTGTAGACCACAAGCTACTGGATGTTTTTGGGGGCTGGAAAACTAAAGCATCAACACTCTGCTGCATGAAAGAAACACAGCTCGGTTTGGCCACCGCTGTGATACCGGATAGTGTTCCAAGTTTCCACACATTTTTACACCGGGGTATCTCCGCTGGATGGGGGCGGGGTTAAGGCAAAGCAGAAACACAAACCCCGCCCACCGGGGGCGCACCGGGAGCAGCAGTTTGGAGCTGAGCCGGTAATCAAGCCAAACGCTCCCCTTGTAGCTTCAAGTCAACTTTTCAACTCTTTGTTCCCGTGCGCACGGGTTCTTCTCGGTTCGGTTCTTCTTCCGAAAGTCCAGGGAGCAGAGAGACACGGCACAGAGTTGAACTTTGCAGGGCGCCTGCAGACTAACGGAGCAGCGCGGAGAGTTTGGAGAAAGGTCGCAGCAGCGCTCCGGAGAGGGAGACTTCAGAGTTACATAAGAGAAAACATAAATCCTGAATGAGCGCTGGGCTCTGGCTTCAGCCACAGACTCTGCGCGTAAATGCGCGACTGAGTTGAGTTTCCAGCTATGAGCAGGACGCGTGGACTGCGGTTCTGACCCGGTTCTGAGTGTTTGAAAATGAAACTGTGGAGCAGGTTGTCCTCCTGGATGAATGTTTGGAATATTTTCTTGACTTTAGGCGGTGAAGTGTCTCCGTGGAGCTGTTAGTTCTCCACGCATGAAGTCGTGCGTCCTGCAGCTGAATGAGATGGATGATCATCTGAGCGCCTGTTTGGATCCAGTTCAGCTCTGAGCGGCAGAATGAAGCCAACCTGCTGCAAATAAGATAGTTTTAATATCTGTGGATTGAGAGTAACTGAGGAACCTTTCAAAGTCGGACCGGAGAAGTTTTTCATGTGCTTCTGTTCTGGTTCCCCCCGCGGCTTACAACGCGCTCACAGCTGAACCCGAAGAGACGCGGATGTCCGCCGGGAAGCAGCGCGCCGCGCCGCCGCCGCTCATGGAGCGCTCCGGGCGGCCGTCGCTGCTGCTGCCTCCACCGCTGCTGCTGCTCGGGCTGCTGCTGCGACTCTGCTGCGCCGTCACCGACGACCGCCTCATCTCGGACCGGTATGCTGTCTACTGGAACAGCTCCAACCCCAGGTAAGAACCGTTCATTCTAAGCTGTTCCCAGTTATATCTGCGCTCTCAAGAGGAACATATTTAAATTATGAATGTGAACCTGAAGACCTCCCATCTGCAGGACGCATAAAAAAACAACTCTGAGTCTAACTGGAGAGAAAAAGTTTCCTTCAACGCAGAAATTATCCTGACGCTCCAAACTTGAAACACTGGATTCTGCATGGATAAGAGAAATAAAAGGGTCCACTTTCTGTTGCATGGAGGTCAGTGAGGTTCAGGGCTCCTGCAAATCAAACTGAAAATAACTTAAAGATGTCAGAGGTTGCACTTTAGAAAGCGTCTCGGTTTGGATCCTTGAACCTCTGACCCTATTTGGGCTCCAAACAGCAGAAAAGGCATTGAAGATGCTCACCTTCTCTGCAAAAAGGGCTTAGGTTGCATTTTGTGTTGAACCATTCTGACTTCATCAATTTGAACAGTTCTTATAAAGTAAACAAAAAGGAAAAAAAAAAAAAGAATCCGCCGCAAAATTTTTTTCCCCTTTCAGCCCAGTGTTGGAATAAATCTGCCAGCCTTTAAAGTCCATGTAACTTAAGAAGGCAAATTTACACCTAATGGAGCTTTTCTTCTAAACGCCACAAATAGCCTCTTAAAAAAGACATTTTTGAGGCTGAAATCAGAGTTTAGGGAAAGTTATATGAAAAAAAAAAAATCTGAAAAGGAATGAAGATGTTAATCATGAAATATCTGATGACCTTTTTTTTGTGGTAAATTTTAAAGTAATGTTCTGTTTGTTGAAAGTCAACAATGATATTAATTATATTTCAAAGCTTCTGGTCAGACTTTACAAGATATCCTACGACTTTTCTTATTGTAATTTTGGTCATTCTCACTAGAATCCATGTAGTAACCGGTAATAATTATCTGGGATTTTTTTTAAATGTTAACTGATAGGTATATATGCATATTTGTGTCACTGGTGAAGAAAAAAGAGAAAAACATGCTCTTGCCACTTCATTGAGATCAAATTGATGTCTTGTTTGGCCCAACTGGACGTTCAAAAGATCTAAAATATTTGAATTCTGAGAAATTATGGAAGAAAAATGTATTTAAAAAAATTCGGCCTTTTATAAATTTGTTTCTAACCGTTTTCTTAAATGAACAACGAGCAAGTTTATCCAAAGAGGTTATTGTTCAAGTAATTAAATTTTTTTTTTAAAGCCCAAAATATCAACTATTTTCCAGAAATAGCCTTAAAGATTTGCTGCTTTTTTGTTGTATTTTGTTAAGATAAATCTGTTTGGTTTTCATTTGTTGGTTCAGCAGAACATCTGAGGATGTTTCCATGGTTTTTGGGAAATGGGTTCATTTTTCTGCCTTATTTTTCAGAAGGTCGACTGATCCGCTTGGATCATCATGACCGTCGTCCATATTGGCTACTTTTCTTAATTTTACAACTGTTCAGACTTTAGCTGTTTCTCATTGCTTCAGCAAAAACAAATATTTTTTCCTGCTTTTTCTTGTTAAATTGTTGTAAAGATTTTGAATCTTTAGGCGACCTCTGACCTTGGATGTATACTCAGATTTCTCAGTTTTCTGCACCTAGCAGCAGAGCGTTATCCGCTCTGATTGGTTCCCTATCTATCCAATAGGAGGCGACGATGTTTGCGGATTGTTGTGGTGGTGCAGGGCTATGATGTGAAGGTGTTACTAAGGAAGATTTTTTTTCTCTTTTGGGATTTTTAAAAAACTTTTTTATTTGGTTGTTTCAAAATAAAAGCACGGTAATGAGTCCAGCAGAAAGCTACAGGGGAAGGCTTGATCTTCGGAGGTCCTGCAGCAGGAAAAGCTGTTATTCGCTGCTCTCATAAAGAGTTTAAGTGTGTGTGGTCTTCCAGATGTGAGCAGCAGCATCCTGAGTTTCCAGCTGCCTGATCATTTGTGTCCCTGCAGTGTTCCTGTAATAGCTCGGCAGGAGGAATGCGCCAGGTCTCCAATTCCACAAAAAATACTGCTGTTTTCACAGGAAAATGAATATATTTGTATCAAGGGGAACATCAGCTAATTTATTACTAATGGATGTTCATGAATCACCCTGAAATGACTTTCCTCTACCACCAATCTACAGCAGGAAATCCGTTTTCTATTAAACGTCACACAGAAAATTTCAGGCTGGGAACCTGCTGATTCTCGTCCCGCCGTGACTGTTTTGTGGTTCAGGCCGATTAGGTCCGGCTTAGAGATTTTTATTTTCTTTCTAATCACCATTCTGGAACTGGATCTGTTCAAGCACGACGGACAGATCAGTTCTGGTTTGCAGGAACCTTAAAGTCGCCATGTCGTCTGCTCTGTTCGATCATGGCGGCAACAGAAACTGATGACCAGAGATCTTTTAGGTTCTACGCTGAGATAATTTAAATGTTTAATTTTTCGCTTTTTCGTACATGAAGAAAATCTTAAACTCCTGTAATTCTATTGCAAGGGCCTTTCATCGAAAAATAATTATCTGTTCTTAAAATTCTGAAAATATTTTAGGAAAAAACAGCTCTGAAGGAACTGTAACTGAATTGCAAAATTAATAAATTTAAACTCATCACTAATTCTTACTCTTTAAAGACTAACTCGCTTCAAACAAAAATATGAAACTGTTTTATGAATGTTTGGTTTTTGGTCTCTTATTTTGGTGTCATTTTGAAGATTTTGGATTCTCTAGCCATTTATTATTAGCATTTTTTTTTGCCCAAGTAAGAGGAAAAATATATATATTTTAAGATTTCTATTATTTTCAAACAGGCTTAATAGGTTAATTTGGTAGTAGGAAATATTTTTTTGGCAAAACTAAAGATTTCAAGTCTTTCATCTCTAGTGGATTTTCCTTTATGCTGCTTATTCTCTATTTTAGAATAAAGTCTCTTGGCTTATCATTTGTTTTAATCTAAATTTCTTCTAAAAAACGTTGCCTTTTTTTAATGTCCGGGTTTTTAAATAAAAAATAAAATAACAGAGAAATAACACAAAAAAATATATTTTGAATTAACAATTTGGAAGATTGAGTTATTCCCTCTGAATATTTTAAAATAATACCAATCTTTATCAAAATAAAACACGACACACAGAGATGTCTCTGAATAGCTGTTATGAGCTATGAAAGAATCGTCTTTAACACTTTTTGGTTTACAGTTGAAGAACAAAAACGGAACGTAAAAAAAAACGGAATTCTTCCAATGATAGATAATTGATAATAGATCATTTAATGATGGATAATTATCCTTAAATCATGGAACTCATAATGGAAATGTGACCTGTAAATGAATGAATGCAGGTTTACAAAAAGTAAAAAAATAAGAAAGATGACTTTACAGTAGTAGACATTTAAGAAAATAAGGAAAAAAAGTGTGACAAAATATTATGTTTAAGCCCAGAATTAATCAGTGGATTTTTAAACAAATCCAATGTAGTTTCTCTTCCAGGTCCAAATGTTCTTGTTTCCTCTTCAGCCATATATGAATAACGACGCGTTCAAGCCCTTAAATATTAATCAAAAATAATTTTGCTAATTTTCTTGGACTTTTGTTTTGACACTTTTAAAGTTGTTTGGAGACAAACCTCTTTTAAAACATATCGTTTAGATAAACTGAAATGGGACCAGTTGTTAGAGACCAACTTTATGATGCAAACTCAACCGTGTTCAAATCTGACAAAGAAAACCACAAATCATGACAGGATGAGGGGCTAATGAGCTTTCATTTCTTTACTTTCATGCTAAAACCATTTATGCAGTATATTTGGACAAACGAAAATAATCAGATTTGCAGTTTTCTGACTTTTCACAAATAATCCAAGCCGTTAAAAAGAAAATAAGCTCCAGTTTTAATGTGCATCGTGAAAAGTAACTTAAATCAGCTGCCACCACTAACTTTGAACGCTTGTTATTATTGTGTGCAGGGGTTTCTAGTTAGCGCTAATCAGTTTTATTTTCAAACGCTAACAATTTAGAACTAAATTTGCATTATTAAAATGACCCTCTCACAGAGTATAGGAAAAAATGAAGAAATTTGTCTATGAAAGTATTGCTATCTGCAGCTTTAAACACACCAACTGATGCAGTAGTTGCTGTTGTACTTCTACACTCATCTCATCCATCTGTAATTCTTATTCAAACATGTATTCATTTTACTAATATATTGCTTTGAAAGTGTTTTGAAAAAAACATTATGGCCAAAATCAAAGTATGTTCTGCATTTGTCTGTGAAGTTCAGCTTTATTGTCCTTGTGAAGTTCAGTTTTATTGTCCTTTCGTCTTTTCGTCTCGCTCCGGTTGGCCGGTTTTCTGTCCCTGTCTTTAAGCAGTGTGAATGTTTTCTTTTTTTCTTCCTCCATGTTTGTGCGTCGCAGCGGTCCTCTCCTCAGGTTGGATGGTCTTTCTGTGGACTCCAACTGTGGCATATTATGACTTAAACTTCCACTTTTCTTTCTTTTTTCACAGAAACTCAACACACCAAGGAACAGAAATTTCAGCTTCTGCTCCAAACATTTAGGGCTTTTTAGCTAAATTTTCTTTTTCCAATGTGTATTTAAAAACATTTAAATGTCGGGAATCTTATTTCACTGAAGTATTTTGGGCAACTTTGAACATTAAAAAAAGGAAGTAGCTCCAACTAAATGATTCCATCATTCTTTCTATAATGACTGCTGCCACATTTCTGACTGTTATCCAATACCTCTTTAGTTTGTTCTAATTGAATCATTTTGACCTTGTTGGTCTCATCTAAAGTGTAAATTTATTTATCTTGTTCTGAACTGCCTCCTGACACTCTCAGATCCCAGTAGATTATCAGGTAATTAAAGGTTTAATACTGAATAAATATCCAGTTTTAGGTAATTTTTGCTTTTACGTTTGAACATCCATCGTAAAAAGAATCATTAGATGGACAAATATTACATTTTTCCCGTCATATTTGTATATTCCAGTAAACATTTAAAGCATCCGCTTCACTTCTAATTTCTCTACTCATCCATAT